CCTGCCAGCCCGCGGCCGCTGCTCACCGTCTTTGGCCTCGTGCTTTGGAAACTCCGTTTCCAAGAGGCTTTTAAATCCTTTATGCCGAACAAACGCCAGTCCGCTCTGCCCCCCGGCGTGTATTTTTTGCCGAACCGCAGGCTGAGGATCTTCTGTAATTCCCGGAGCTTGGCTTTCCCTGCCGGCACCAGGCGAGCCCCGACGGGCGAGCGCCGGGTTTGAAAAAAATGATGGATGTGAGGTGGTAAGAGCTGCTGTCTTTGCTCTGGGAGCCGCGGATGGAAAGCTAAATCCCGCGGTTGATCCGGGCGAGCTGGGGTGGTTCTGTGACCAGCACTACCTCTTTGGTGGCGCGGAGATGGCGGCCTGTTCCCAGGCTCTGGGCAGGAATAGCTGGTTGCCAGAGGGAGTATTGGAGAGCCCTTTCCCTCCCTGCACATGAAAGCCCAGGCTGCTGTCCTCGTGCGCTCCTCGGAAGCGCCCGGGTGACGGCCGTAGCCACGGCACAGATTAAGGGCGACGTTGGGTTCTCTGGTGGAGAAATTCCTGGGTGGGAACGAAGACAAATCGGGGTTGTGGCGTCGTTGCCGGTGTCGCTTCGACAGCGGTGAGAAACTCCATGGGTGGTTTGATCCAGGCTCGTCCCGAGCAGCTGCTGGGGAAGCAGCGGTGAACAGGGAGCCGCCGTTTCCGATGATCCACGGGCTCTCCAGCAGCCTTGCGAGAGCGCGGCCGGGCCGGCTGGTGGGGATGCGGTGGGTGAAGCTCTGCCTGTTCCTGTTTATACAGGGAATGTTTCGGATACCGAACTCTTTGCAGAGATGCCTGTGATGACTGCGAGTTTGTAGAGACTCGCTGCTAAGTTTAGCTCTTACCGGGAGGAGAAACAGCCTTGTCCTTCTCCAGATTTGGAAGAGAAGCCAACAGCTCTCTTGGCTTTGGAATCAAGTCGTAGGTCCAGCGCCTTTCCAAGCTGGCCGAGGTGTGGGCCGTATCTTCTGGGCAGAGCAAGAGCCAAGCGATGGTTTTCTGAGCTTGCAGGGAGAGCAGGAACGTCAGGGATGCCCAGTTTTTTTTGGTGGCTTGGGTATGTCCCGGGTCTTCAGAGCTTTCATGGGGCTCTTGGAGGGCTCGGGGCGTAGTTGGGACGAGCCCTTGGGATCAGGTTGGATTGATTTAGGAAGCGGAAATGCAGCCGGGCTGTTCGGGGCACGGCAGAGCAGTTTGCCCGGAAGGAGCGGAAGCGACGGCGCGTCTCCTTCATGCTGCACCGCAGCGGGCATGCTCGTGGCGCTGGGACTTGGCGGCTGGGAGCGCCGGGTTCCGAAATTGCTCACCTCTGCTCTCGGAGCCCGCTCGCGCGCTTCCTCCTCCTTGTTCACCGGGAAGCTTCAGTTCGGGTTCGGGGAAGCTCGCGCACGTTTTGGAGCTGTAGAGGATCAGGAGATGGGCTTTGCCCTCGCAGGGCGGTGTGTGTTACTCCTCGTGTTTCCTTCCCCAATTCCGTGGTCTCCCTGTGTTTGCCTTCGGCTGACGGGAAAAGGTGGAGGAACGTGCCGTGTCGTGCCGATGAGAGACGCTCAAAGCCGCAAAACTTGTTGTAAGTTCAAGGGGATCCCTGAGCCTTAAAGGAGTTTTAGTCGTGTCCGAAGTCGTTAAACATAATTCAGTAACTAATAACCCGAGAAATCGGCGGGGGGAAAAAAGAGCCCCGTTTAGACCGGG